CGAACGTTTTTTGGACGACTTAACGCTGAAAGAGAGAAGAGATATATTTTTTCAACACGATGGGACACTTCCTCACAATACTAGAAACGTCTCTGAATTGTTAAATCTTCATTTTAGAGACAAATGGATAGGGACAAAAGGACCTATAAGGTGGCCACTACGTTCACCAGATTTAACGTCCCTAGATTTCTTCTTTTGTGGATATATTAAAGACAATTTATACAAAAATACTTCTAATATTATTGACGAACTAATGCAAAATTTTATACAGTGTGTTAAATCTACAATATCCATATTTATAACGCAATTCGGAATGTTTCCAAACGATGTCGTTCATATGTTGCGAATCAATTTGGAAATTTAGTCTAGATAATTTTATATTTTTTAATGATGTTGTAATTGGTAGAACAGCATCGTCAATATTATAATTCTTTGTCCCTGATTTGTTAAAAGTTCCATAATGTATGAGATTTTCTTTTAATTGTCTTTCCGGGTAACGATTAAAATATAATTCACTTGCAACTTTAGAATTGTTAATACTTTGAATAAAACATTCTTACGTTCATATAAAAAAATACAACTTTATGCTATAACTCGAATTTGAAGAATTTAAAAAAATAGTTGACTACGCCACTGGATTCTTATCAAAAAAGTGCCTGAAGAAGATATTTTATTTTCTTCCACTTTCATAAATAAATAAGCGAGATAATGCCATATATTGAAAATTTTAAGAAACAAACTTTTGTTTATAATTCGAAAACAAAAGACAATAGGCAATTTTTGAAAATTCCATTTGGTTTTTCTCAAAAAAAAAAAGAGATTGAGGATGGAACATCTATTTTCCTTAGCATTTATAGTTAACGAGATTCTCTATTAAAACATCAAAATTTGCCCACCCTGTACATGTAATATTAGAGATTATTGCTTTTATTAGGCACCTTAGATAAGATTTATACAAAGATTTTTCGAAAAAATGAAAATTTGATTTTAATAAGAATTCAATTTTTGTTTAATAAAATTGAATTAATAAATTATGAAGGTAGCTGGGTGAGGTAGTTTTTCCACATCTTTTACTTAGTTACTCCCTGTCTCGAGGGTGTATCGGTAGCAGCTACTTAACAACTTTGTTTTATTTATTTAGAGACGTCTCAGTTTGTGATACCATTGTACTATATTTTTAAACACCTATGTAATTCTACTAACTTTCACACATTACATACTAACACCATTGTTTTTTCGTAGACCTGATGATGGCCTAAGGCCGAAACCAATTATCATATGTTTTGAATAAAAATTGTTTTATGTGAGATTGATTTTTGTATTACTTTAGTACTATAAACTGACAAGAAATCTACTAGCCCTGTATAGATTAGTTGAAAAAACAAAGCTACTACTGCTATTTTTGCTTTTTGTTTTCGTTCAAGAAGAACAATTCAAGTTTTAATTTCTGTCTTTAATAAACGGAAAACTATGTTAGCCATCAGTACCAAATATACAGAAAACCACAACCACAAATATCGAAGATCGAAGCACCTTAAAATTCGAAGTTAGACAACTTATTTTACATTACCTACTTAACATAGTAGTCGTGGCAATGAAGCACTAAAAAGTGGCATCTTCGAACACCTTCCGGACACCTGGTGCGCCCGAACCTAGACGTAGACGTCATCCCTGAAAATTTTCCTGACAAGATCACCAAAAACAACCCTAAAATCATTGTAGATGCATTTTTTGGGGCGCTTAATCCAAATTTCACGTCATAAACGATCCCCCGAACACCTAGTGCACCGAAACCTGGGCATGAACGTCGTCTTCGAGAGTTTTCCTCACACAATCGAAGAAGATGAACTAATAATCTATATGGGGTTTTTTGGGGCGCTAAATCCGAATTTTACGTCGAAAACGATCCTTCTAACACCTGATACACCAAAACCTTTATCTTGACATCGATGTCATTCCCATGAATGTCAAAAAACCTGATGTTTTAGAGACGGACGTCAATACTGCAATAGCTGTATAATAATATAATAATAATATTGTTTATTTGAAAATATAAAAGATACATATTAAATAATACAAAACACAAATAAACAAGAAACAAAAACCACGAAGCAAGTCAAGCCTACTTGTGAGTGGTTATCATAAATAAGTGGTATAAAAATATTCTTAAGACAAAAAAATAATTTAGACTTTTTTTTTTTTTTCATTTTTATTGTTCAACAATATCATAATGGAATTGTTGATTCTAGTTAAATTATGTGAGGAGGAAAGAAATCGAATGAATAGAAAGTCAATATTTATGTAATTGGCGTTTAAAAAATTTTATTGAACTTTTTCGAGGGCCACGGGCGAGAGTTACACATCAATGAATGTGTGAAATTATAAGACGATTTTCGGGTTGTTTTTGGCGATCTTGTTAAGAAAATTCTCGGGGATGACGTCCACTTCCAGATTTAGGTGCACCAGATGTCTGGACGGTATTCGACGATGTCACATTTGAATTCAGCGCCCCAACCAGTGTTGCCAGAATAAATTTTTGTAATGTACCAGATTTGTCTAAAAAATGTACCAGATTACATAAAAATGTACTAGATTCTATAAAATTACCAGATTTTCTAATTGTGAAGCAGTCATTAAAGAGCAAAAAAAGGTTTATAGAGAACACGAACAGAGCAATTTTAAACAATATTTTATCTCTCGACAAATATCTGACACTATTTTATCTCTCGAGCAATTTTTGAAAAATATTTTAATAACTTATGATACTATTTTATCTTTCCAACAGTTTATAAACCTTTTTTATCTCTTGAGCTATATTTAAACAATATTCTATGTCTCGATAAATTTTAAACATTATTCTATCTCTCGAGCAATTTTTAATAACTTTTTTATCCCTCGAGCAATATTATTACAATATTTTTGGTAAAATTTTTAACACTATTTAATCACTCGAGCAATTTTTAACAGCATTTTTATCTCTTAAGCTATTTTTGAACAATATTTGATCTTTCTTGCAATTTTTGAGCAAAATTTTAACAATTTCTAACACTATTTTATCTCTCAAGCAATTTTTATTAACATTTTTTATCTTTCTAGCAATTTTTAAACAATGTTTTATCTCTCGATAAATGTTTAAAAGTATTTTGTAATTCTCTAGTAATTATTAAACAAGATTTTAATAATTTATAATACTATTTTATCTCTCGAACAATTTTTAAACTTTTTTTTTATCTTTAGATACATTTCTAACATTATTCTATATCTTGAGGAATGTTTAACCTCTTTTTTTTGTCTCTTTAGCAAACTGCACAATATTTTAACTCTCGACAAATTTATAACAATATTTTAACTCTCGATAAATTTTTAATAATGTTTTATGTCCCGAGCAATTTTTAACAATGTTTTATGTCTCAAGCAATTTTAATAACTTTTTTTATCTCTCGAGCAATTTCTATTAGTATTTTATCGTTCCAGGAATTTTTAAACAATGTGTTATCTCTCGAGAAATTTTTAACAGTATCTCTCGAGTCAATTGTAAATAATGTTTTATTTGTCAACAAATTTTTCAACAGTAATTTATCGCTCGAGCAATTTTTGAACACGTTTTTATTAATTTATAATACTGTTTAATCTCTCCAACAATTTTTAAATATTTTTTATCTCTCATTAAATTTCTAACAGTATTTTTATTCCTAAAACAATTTATGAACAATATTTTACCCCTCAAACAATTTCTAATACTATTTTATCCTTCGACCACTTTTTAACACCCTTTTTTACCTCTCAAGCTATTTTTAAACAATATTTGATCTCTCGTGCAATTTTTGAACAATGTTTTATCTCTCGAAAAATGTCTACTATTTTAACTCTAAGCAATTTTTAACAATTATTTTAATTTCTTTGGCAATTTTTGAACAATATTTTTTACACTTCAAATGGAACATACGCTGAACTAGTACTAGATTATGCTTCGAGTGTACTAGAGTATCAGATTCTCAGAGAATGTACTAGATCTAGTACAATTGTACTAGACTGGCAACCCCCCCCCCATAATGATTTTCGGTTCGTATTTTTCGATTGTATGGAGAAAACTCACGGAAATGAGGTCCGCGTCCAGGTTCCAGTGTACTAAGTGTTCGGGGGATCGTTTTGAACGTGAAATTTGGATTAGGTGGCCAAAAAAACTCCCCTACAATGATTTTCGGGTTGTTTTTGGCGATCTTGTCAGGAAAATTCTCGGAGATGACGTCCACGTCCAGGTTCCGACACATCAGGTGTCCGGGGGATGTTCGCCGATGCCATATTTGAATTCAGCGACCCAAAAAAACCCTGGAAGCCTAGTTTCTCTCCTTAGCCGCGTGACTGTCGGGAGAGTCCCACGGAGATGACGTTCATCGGCGTTCCTGAGCTCCAGGTCGGCTGTGAGTTAATTTGAACATCATAATCGTGATCGGCGACCTCGAAAACCTTCGGGAACCCGATTTGGGCCAGTTCTGACTCTTATTTACAAAGTTCTTTAATCTTCCAAAAACCATCTCAAAAAATGCATTTTTTGAATGCATTTTTGGCTGCAGCAATGCAATTTTCGGTTTGTATAAGATAAAGAGGAAGGACATATTTTTTCAAAAAATGTTTGGACGCGTCTAAAAAATTCCGAACTTTTTTGCTTGTTCTGTTGAATTTAAACTACAATTTAGTTTACGCGTTATTGTCGTAGGAAAATTAGTGTTCATAACTCGTTGAAATAAGTGTATTTTCTGTATGGTGTAAACCTGATATTAATCACAAGTCGTAAGATTTTATACTGTATCAAATTAGAAAGTATTTTTTATTTAATAATTTTGATTATTAGGTTTTAGTATCAATCAGAATTCAATTATTGTGATATCACAAAAAGATGAAAAGAACCCCATAATACATTAACGTACTTTTAAATCGGCTATAAATAAAAGATAAGAATATAATTATAAAAGTATTTATTTAAGTTGATTCTCACAATCCTTTTTTTGCAAATCAATATAGAAAAGATGTTATATAATTTTATCAAAGGTTCAATGAACTATTTATTTATTTACACAATAAATGACATAGATTTAGTATAAAAATACATTTTGATAACCGTTTAGAGCAAACAGAACAATAAGTTCGTGTTTCACAAGAACTGGTAGAAGATGGTCTAAGTATTTGTGGAAGAATGCGACCCAATCCAAAGATAAGTCACAGAGTTAGGTATTTTTCGGTACAGTGGAACTATTTAGACACTTATAATCTACCAGAAATTCCGATTAGTTACTGCAATTCTTCAGTTATCTCAATTCCCTACATCGCCGTAGTTAAAAAATTAAAATTAAGGAGAAGTTGTACTATCAGCTCTCAATTGTTTAGTACGTATATCATTGTAAGCTATGGTGAACACACTCTTCTTCTGAGCTATCGGTGGTTTGCTTAAAGCGATTCCAGAATCGTTATCTTCATCAGGTTTCTTATTCTGATTCTGGTTTTGATTCTGGTTTTGATTCGTGTTTTGATTCTGGTTTTGATTACTAGGATACGGCGCTTCGTATCTGTATTCAGAATGTTGAAGCAAAGGATGGTCAGGTCCAAAAGAAGCTTTTTTACTGTCTACTTTTTTACGGGAACTAGATTCAGTATCCAATAAAAGCCTCGAATTGACTTGTTGTTTAACACCATTACTTTTAGCGTCTTTTTTGTTAGTAGTCCTTTCTTTGATGCTACTTTCTGGTGGATCCCTTTTGTCTGCCTTAGGATCTTCGTTTTTTTTGTACCAATCCATATATCTGGGTCCTCCATTTTTAACTGCTTTCTTCGTCGTCGTTTTCTTCTTCTTGGTAGAAATTTGGTTTAAATCTAACTCACTCTGCGCCTTTAATTTGACTTTATTCGAACTCTCCGAAGATCTCCTATTACTTCTAGAAGATATCAGCCTTAAATCAGATTCTGAATGATATTTCAGTTTGTTGGAATCAGTACTAGTTTTCTCATCAGATCTAGGAGATATATTAAGACTGTCGTCTGAAAATAAGTCTTTTCTCTTGTAGTATTTTTCTTTTGGTTGGCGCGTTTCATTCGTTTTCTCACCACTCTCACTCTCGTAGCTGTTGTCTAACGAAGCCGATATTTCCTCCAAGATTTCTTTTCTCAAACCAGACTTAGAGGAATTGGATCTGTGCGGTTTGCTTTCGGTTGGAGCTCGATTTTGTCTCATTTCACTGGTTCTAGTTTGCCTGGAAACACAAAATAATTGTAAATAAGAAGAAGTATGGTCACAGAAGAGTCTAAGACTACGGAAGGCACTGGACTTGGGAAGAAAAAAACCTGATCCAGAAATAAATCTTGTAGAATTAATCGGGCAAAAGCCAACAACGAGTTCCTCTCTAACCCGTCTAAAACCCAGCAGGTATCCGGCAGGCGATGTAGCTCTGTCATTGTTCATATGGTTCATAAGAGAGACGGTCAACGCTTATGTCTCAGGAATTCGTCGGCAAAATAATGTTTAAAAAAGATCAAAGGCCGCTACTTATTTTATGAACGATGCCAAGAGTATCAAAGGGAGATCATGTTCAAAAAGAATAGGAACTAGGAATATGCATCTGAACAAAATAGGCGTGTACATTGGAAATCTATTATGTAAATATTGTAGAATATGTTACAAGGAACACAAAACTTATAATGTGTGACTGCGAAAACATTAGATCGCGGAAAACAGGCACTTTTTGGACTACCACAGTTTAATCGAAGAGCCTATAGTACACATTTCGTCAAATACCTGTACATACTTAAAAATATTAGATACAGAAGAGTGGTGAGTACTACGGACCAACATGGAGTAAAATATATTGCCTTCGACATAATCTCCCACAACCAAAGAGGTGTTGGGCAACTGAACAAAAGTAGATACTGCCATGCGAAGCCGTGCGAAACCATAAATAATCGCAACAGACTTGTACCAACAAGATTACAGATGCAATTAGGAATTGGTACAGGAAAGTTCACTCATTGTCGCTGCTATGAAAGATGTTATAGTAGAAATGGATGTAATGAACTTACATGGCTTCCAGTTAGATTTTAAGAACACAGTGATCAAAGTTGGTGCCGAGAAGGTATGCACATACATACGGGACAGTACCATGCCAGTAGCTGTACAAGAAGATACGGTGGTACCTGGTAGATGTGAAACCATTATAGTAGCACGGCTTCAAGAAACTATGGAATAAGGAACACCTATCATGGTGGAACCTTAGAACCACGATGTAGAGGTTAGACAATAAATTCTGATCGGAAAAGGGTTGGTCATGACTGCTAAAGAGATTCCAATACGTTTTATAAACGTTAATGATTACCCAATTAACATCAAGAAAGAGACCACAGAATCGAAACATCTGTACCTGTACTTCCATAATTTGACAGACAACGACAAATTCGGGCAAGTGATTGCAGATGCTGGTCAATCTTTGAATTAATTAGAGAAAAGGAAAATAAAGGAATTTTTTCGACGATATCGTGATAATTTTGTACTTCTATTATAAAACAAAATTAATACTGGTGGAAGATGATGCCAGGCCAATTCGTCAATCAGCTCAAAGATGACTAAAGGCCAATAGAGAAGAAGCTGAAAGGATTGTTCGGGAGAAAGAGGAATGCAGAGTAATAGAACCTTCTACTAGCCCATGGGTTTCTCCGGTAGTCCTAGCCCAGAAAAAGGATGGAACTACGAGGTTCTGTATGGTCTACCGTCAATTGAACAATATTACCAAGAAATACACTTATCCTCTGCCTCGAATCGGCGATACTTTGGACATATTGGCTAGAAGTAAATTATTTTCTTCTTTAGACTTGAAGTTTGGATACTGGCAGGTGGAAATGGACCCAGATCTGGATTATGGTAATTCAACGTCATGCCATTTGGACTATGTAATATTCCCGCGACATTTGAAAGATTTATGGAAGATGTATTCAGAGGGTTATCCTGGAAAACATGCCTGGTGTATTTAGATAACATCATAGTCTAAGGAAAGACACTTGATGAACATCGAAAAAATAGAAGTTGTTTTTAAAAGGCTCTAAGTTGCCTAACTGAACCTCAAGAAATGCCAAGTATTTCATAATTAATTTAATTACATGATCAGCAAAGATGGCGTGGCTGAAGATAAGGAAAAAGTCGCTTATATCAATTAGTGGCCACAATCAACTGATAAACATCAAATAAAAAGTTTTCTTGGGCTCTGTACGTAGGTAGTATTTAACCACAGCGTCAATACTAGGCTACCCACTGCCAGAGGGAGAATTTATTCTGGATACTGATGCCAGTAATGTGGGAATTGGAGGAGTGCTTTCACGGATTCCAGAAGGGAAAAGAAAGAGCCCCAGGTCATTTTAGTAAAGCGCTTTCTAAACCTGAACAAAATCACAACTGTGCCAAGTGCGTGGAACACAATATCTATATGGAAGGAAATTTTTAATCCGGACCGACCATGCAGCTCTTAAGTGGCTGATGCAGTTCTAGAACCCGGAGGGTCAACTCTCCGGTTGGATCGAACGACATCAAGAATAAGACTTATTAAGATCGAACATCGAGCCGAAATAAGCCACAAAAATGCCGATTGTCTTTCTAGAAGACCGTGCCTCGCAGAGTGCTCTCACTACAACAAAGCAAAATTTAAAGAATAACTGTAGTCAACGATGAGTGAGCCCCTGCCAAACTTAGGGAAGAACAAGAGAACAAGCCTGTTTTAAAGAAGATGCGACAATGGAAAGAGGAAAATGGTCGATCTACTTGGCAAGAAGTATCAAATCTCATTTCAGTAGCTAAGAGATATTTGGCGCAGTGGGGCTCTTTTATCTTGAAAGAAGACTTATTAAAGGAAGTACTAGAGAATGATGATGGTTCCGAAAACAGAAGACAGTAATTCCAAAGAATAGAGTAACCGACGTACTTTGCCAGTTACACGACAGTCCATCAGGAGAACGTATCGGTATTAAGAAAACCCTTCAGAGAGTTCATGAACGGTTTTACTGGATGAACTGGTGTAGGAAATGTACTACATGTGCCAGGAGTAATGGACCTCAATGAAAAAGAAAGGCTCCCATGAAGCAGTACAACATCGGTAATCCATTTGAGAGGATTGCACTGTTTTAAATAAATAATCGTTACAATACTTTAGAAGTTTTATAGGTAGGTGTAGACATAATAATATTAAAATCCACCATTAAAGGAGAGACGTTACCTGTATCTGTGCTTCTCACTCTGCGGCTTTTCCACAATCTCCAACTCCACCTCTTCTTGTATGGGAGTCTTTATCTTACGTCTTATATGCCCCTTTCGTCCGTTTCTTCGTTTAGCTCTCGCTTTGATTATAGCGATCTCGTCATCTTCATCGCTATAGTCGCTTTGATCATGATCGGATCTGACTTCTCGACGAGGCGGTCGTAAATACTGAGGTTCCGTTTGGGTTCCGGCATCTTGATCCGTTTGCGTGCCGGCCGGTAACGATTGAGTTTCTAATCGCAAATCCCGTTCTCGATCCAACAGGATTTGCCGCAAGAGGGCGTTTTGCTGGCGAAGGGAAGCTTCTAATAGTTCGTGTTCGCTTTGCGCCCTCACTGCATTAGGTAGGAGAACCTACGTAAATAATGAATTAGGAATTAGTATATGGTACGTGAAAAGATTTATCACTCACCTGATTTCTAGCTTCAGCTTGCTGTTGCTCTATATACCTCCGCATTAAAATATCCTTTCCACTGTCAGCCATATATTGCTGTTCCGTCGCCAAATTAGGAGCTCTTTGTTGTTCACCACCTCTTGTTATTAATCGCAAAATATCCGCGTTCCCTTCTCTAATATAAAATTGATCTCTGAATGGTTCTTGTTGTACTTCACTTTGACGATGGAGCGTCCTTTTTACTCCACCACGGTCAGATCCTCTGTCGAATTCGTGCCTTCTTAAGGAATCATCAATTTCGATTTCAACGCCGTGGTCTGGCGTCCAGGCTTCCTTTCTACCAAACCATTCGGCTACTTGAACCGATTTGTTGTCCCTACCTTCTCCTGTTCCAATTATATGAACCTTTTCTATTTTTTCTACCGCAGGAGTTTGTTTTCTTTTTTTATAAAGAACGTAGTGATAGAGCGGGCATTGTTTACAAAGGCAGCAAAGTATTAATGCTATGATGGCGATTATTAGAAAGATAAAGAAGAGGATCAACAGCCATAGAAGGTTGCTACCGCTGCTCTCTTTGATTCTTATAATTTCTTTTTCCTTTATAATACGACTTTCTTCGACCCTTTGGTTAATGATTTTGTTAATTTCGTTTAAATCGACAACGGATCCTTTTGAGAATGTTACAGTGGCCTCCACGACACTCCTATTAAAAAAGTTATTATTATAAAATACAAAGTGGCTAAAAAGTGTAGAAGCTTGAAGATATTCAAAGGTTTCTATACTTTTAGACCACTATTATGAATTATCTTACCTCTCTTTGTCTTCTTCATTTGCGACGTAGGTAGCTCCTGGTTCGTGACCGTTGTAAGGTCTACTTCTGTCAATATGTACTTTTGCTCCTGTTAAGGTTCTTAAAGTTTTTTCTACGTCTGCTAGATTCGGATTCGATCCTGGTACTATAAATACCATTTTTCTTGTTTGGCCTTCCGGTGGATAGATTCTAACTTCGCACTCATTGTAAAGCCTCGGTACGCCGCCATCCCAAGCTCTTGCTCTTAGTACTACCATGTCAGTATATTCCAATGACTGTTTAACTAAAATTTCTCCAGATCTTTCATCTATGTAAAGGTTTTCTGGTAGATTAATAATTTCGTAGTGGACTTCATTATTTGGTGAACTAACATCTTTATCTGTAGCTTTGATAATTGCTGGTGTGGTAAAACCGGTTGCGTCTTGTTTTAAAATAAACTCGTATATATCTCTTTCAAATATTGGTGGATTATCATTGACATCGGTAAGTTTGATAATTACGCTGCTGTTCGTTTTTAGACCTTTACCATTTTCATCTGCAGCTTCTACTGTTAAAGTTACCAATGGAATCGTTTCTGCGTCCAATTTAGATGAATCGGCTACCGTTATTAATCCAGTGTCCGGATCTATTCTAAAGAGATCACTACCTTCGCCTCGTAAGCTTGTGTACTGGACTTTGCTACTAGGTTTCTTGTCCACATCAACTGCTTCCACTAGCAGCACGTGAGTTCCAATTTTTGCGTGTTCTTGTACGCTACCGTGATATTCTTCTTCGGTAAATTTTGGAGGATTGTCGTTAACGTCGTTTAGAAAAACTGTTAATTTTGCTTTGGATGTGTAATTCCCTGCCCCGATTTCTTTAGCGACTATGTAACACTCTACTGATTGTCTTGCGTCGTAGTCTAAATATTTGGAGTTTCTTACGGTTACTTGAAATTTTGAATTGCCTTCTACGACTTTTGGAGAAATATCGAAAGTACCTGCAACATATTTTGTTTCATTAAAAGCTCAATCTTCGTCTTATTTTAGTAAACGAAAAATAGGAAGGAAGTTTTTAAATGCGATTAAATCGTTAGCTGACCATAAAAGAAGTTTAAAACCAAATTTTCGAAATATCCCAAATTTTCGATTATATTTTTTTATCCATTTTCTGCAAGAAAATATTTCATACAAAGAATATTTCTTCAATATGACACGTTCGATATTTTATTTAAGAAATAAAACAAATGTGATCAAAATAAAGTATATTTCTATCAAGATTATAAAAATTAATAAAAAAACTGAAAACGAACAAAAATCTAGGACACTAGATAGGTTTTATAGACACAGGGGCGGATTTACAAATGCGTCGCCTATAGGCTGAACCAAATCGCCGTCTATGCTATATTTTTTACAGAAATAAAAATAAGTAATAAACTAGTAGCAGCATGCTGCGGTCATCATAGGTAAAAGTATGAGTAAAAGAAGAAGGCGAAATATTCTAGAAATGTCAGTTCACGTCAAGAAAAATCTAGACAGTTCAAGAAGGTGAAAGCAAGCTAGATGTTATACGTTAATGTTATCAGTTGCATAGTTATTGTAAAAGTTGAGTTGAAATAGACACCAAAAACCAGTGTAACATTTGTGACAGCAGTGGGATATATAAAATAAAAGTTACCCAAGCATTCTATTCCTGATAAATACTAGATCAACTGCGCACGAAACAGATATGGACACTTCAGGCCCACCAGCATGGTTTTTGAAGATGGAAGAGGAAAGAAAACAGCAAGAAGAGGAAAGGGAAAGGCAAGAAGAGGAAAAGGAAAGGCGTAGGAAGAAAGATGAGGAAAAAGAAAGGCATATGAAGAACAAAGAGAAGGAAAAGAAGGAGAGGCGTAGAAAAGGAGCGGTTGAAATTATGAATACTTTGCTACAAATCCAGGAAACCTTCAAGCAAGAGGTTGGTCATCATAAAATTAGAGTAGATCTTCTAAAGCAACAGCAAGAGCATTTAAAAACTAATTTAGAACAGCAGCAAGAGCATTTAAAAACTAATTTAAAACAAAAACGAGGGAATTTAAAACAACAGGAAAAGGCTAGAGTAGAGTTCTAAAGGCAAATTAGAACTGAACTAGTTGAGTTAGAAAGAAGAATCCGTAGCCAAGCTTCAACAAGCAACAGAGAAATTGAAAACACTACCTCGTCCTTATCTATAATCGAACCAAACCACATCCAAAACCCATTTTCACAAAGCCATACTAGCAAGACCATTAAGTCACCCACGTCTGACGGTCAGACAACATGGGAAACGTATCGACTCCAGCTGGGCCGAGAAAGAGATGATAGTGTCGCTGCAAGAACAGGCAGCAACTGTTTTACAGTTACTTCCCCAAGAAGAACCCAGTTATTCATCTCTCGTCCAAGCTTCGGAGACAAGATATGGTCAGCCGCATTTGAAACGGGTATTTCAAAGCCAGCTAAAGGTTTGTAGTCAAAAACATAATGAGAGTCTACAGGAATTCGAGGCCGACATAAGAAGATTAATTCATCTGGCCTATCCACAGGCGCCAAAAGTTTTTCAAGAACAAATCGGATTACAGGCATTCATTGATGGACTACAAGATGTGTAAATGCAGCAAACCCTTCGTCTACAACATCACAAGACGCTGAGGGAGAAACTGATTGCAACCCAGGAATATGAAGCGGTAAAACTCTTATCCAGATATTATCGCGCAAGAGTGAGAGAAACTAAATCCCTGGAAAGTGAGGAGGTCAATATTAATACTCTTCTCCAACCAACACTCTCACAAATCTGACATATCCTGCAAAATATGCAACGAAACAGCCAAAATGGAAGCAGGAGATGCTTTAATTGCGGAAAAATCGGGCACCTTTAAAGAACCTTTAAATCAAGAATCAGGAAATAAGGCCAGAAAGTCATATAGATCAATCTCCTGAGGCCCGTCACAAAGTCCAACAGGAAATAATTGCAGCAACTATGCGTTCCACACCTAGCCAGCTTTCTAGCAATAACCAGGAAGTAAAGCATCGAAGAGGTTATCTCCATATCAATACAGACATTCTCTTCGGACGACCCCGTTTAGAAGAACAATGCCGGTATGGTAAAAGGATCGAAAAACGAAAGGAACCAGTTGATAAAGTTACTCTTCGGGCAACCACTATCAGGCCAGAGAGCGAAGAAGATATCACCCTTGAAAGTCTAAGAAAGGGGCAGAAGTTAGACAATGACTTAAAGGTTGTCCGAGAATGGCTACTTGGCAAGAGATAGCCAAATAGTGGACAGTATTCATTATTAAACACAATTATTATTATTATTATATACGGATCAATTTGGCAACCACGTTAACAGTTCAGGGATGATGTCATGATGATTATTTTGGGACATGAATGCAGTGTCTCATCTTGGTGATCTTTGGTATTACCATGCTAGCGAAGAGACCTATTAGATGCTTTCGTACGCCGTGAAATACCAGTTTTTAACATCTGATGTTTCCGACAGAGTTGTTCCTGGTTATACAATAATTGTACAAGAAAGTGTACAAGCTGTCGTGGTTTTACTGGCTTGCACCAAGACGGAAATGTTATACAATTTGAAGATGCTAAATATTTATACAAAATTTGGTGTAACCTATTCGAAGAGAGTGACGTCTGTTAAAAATATAAACGCGGCCATTAACAAACTTATAACTCTAATTTTAAAATATGTAGATATAAGCCGTACTTTTCCGCATAAAAGTAAACACATCATATTTAAAATACAATTCAACATCCAAACACACAACCAACTCTATATTGGAATTCATCTCTCACATCAAAGTTGCCTATAGACCAGAGATAACAGCTATAGACGCACATTGCTAAAAAATATTATTGTTTCAATTAACGCGCAAAAGCAGAATAACAAGATCTACCGATTCTAAAAGCTCAAATAGCCTGGCAAACATTGGTTCATTGGACAGCAACATTCATTACGATAGGTGGATGTGTCCTAATGCTGCTCACCACTCACTTTTATTTTGCAAGATTAAACTTTCATTCCTTAATTGAATCTTCGAGCATAGACCTGAAATCTTACGGCCAAAGGGTGACCGGAGGTCTTTTTGGGTGGGTTTTAAGTAACAATATTATCAATATTTTCATAGATTAACCTGTATTAAAAGATCTACATTATAAACATTGTTTAGCCAACTTTCCTTGTGTTAAAATAAAGTAATATTTGAAACTATAATCCTTGATTTAATTTTTTCAACAATATCAAACAAAATAAGAATTACGAACTAAGGTGTATCACACCACAGGAACTTAAATTCCACTCCAAAAAGGGCGATTGAAATAAGCCTCAGTAAGATCTTTTTAACACCAATACCACGGAATACATCAGCAACGATGAATTGTCTGAAGAAAAACCAGCAAAAAAAGTCAAAACCAAATTTAAAAAAAAAACACAAGTTCATGAACCGTAAAATTTTTATTTTCCTTGTCCCCTATTGGTTACCTAACGATTCAGGAATCAATTTCATGAATTGTTTTCATTATACTAATTGGTTCTTACCATTATTGTTCTTCAGCTCCAAAGTAACGACGTCACCAGGTTGGATATTCACCTCAGCTTGGGGAAGATCCAACACAGTGCCAGGCGGGGAATTTTCGTCCAGGAGAGCATTGTATTCGATGGCGCCGAATGTAGGTTGACCAGCTGTAACGCCTGGCGGTATCAGAGCTAACTGAACGGTTGCAGACTGAGCTGGGGCTTCAGTGGGGTTGGAACGAACCTCTTCTGCTACTACTGTCAAAAGAATTGGCTGCCCCGAATGGGAGATTGAGAGGATTTGCGAAAGGGGTCGTGCCAGACGAAGTTCTCCTAAAAATTAAAATTACTTTTTTTACTTGACATGTTGATGTATCACAAGTAACTATTATTGATATTCTTGCCGCTTTAAGCAGACTGTACTGACACTATGAACATTGAAAAATCGTGTAAAGTAACTAATAATGTCTTAAATTGAAACATAGGCATTCAGAATTACGAGTATATAAAATTGGTCAAAAGAATGTTCATTATTTCGTCATTAGATAGCCTCATGATTATGACCAATGATAAACTGAGTTAAAATTAGGTAACATTTTTTATTTTCAACATATGGGATTTTGAAAATTTTTAAAACGCAAGCTTCCAAAGATAAAAAGTATTCCATTTTTATTAATAATTATTTATAAATTTTTTCAATTAAAGCTAAGTGAATTGGGTTAGAAAAATAGATTCGTGTCAGCCTATTTTGAGAAACAAGACAATTACGTTTCAACGAATTTTCATTAAATATTCATTTTGTCAACTTCACAACCCTAATGGCTTATACATTAATGACTATCGCAAACTTTGCTTATATTCAAATTGCTTCTTCAGCTGTCTAATAGAATGTTATAAAGAGGAAATTAAAATCGATTATGACAAAAAAAAATATGAATCGATGGAGGAAAAATAAATGTTATTATTGGAAATACTGAATCTATAATATCCTAGAAAAACAATATTATGGTCAATTTGTAAAGAGCAATAGACAAATGTTTACCAAATAATGTTGATGCCTAAATATCTCTAGACCAAAAACAACTATAGTTTATTTTAAAATGAATGATAGCCAATTTTTTATGATCCAGGAGATAAACCCCAATATAACATTTTATAAATACCAATACCAATTTATTTCAATTCTTGTCTTAAATTTTCTAGTCATCTAAATCAACAAAAATAATGTAAGTATATAATCTCTACAGGTAGAAAATATTTACAAATCAAGATCAATTTAAGTAGCCCTCAACTTTCTTAGAAATGATTAAAATTTCTAATCGGCAGAAAGTGTTATGCAGAGGCAAAATTAAGAAAATTAAGAAGAGAAGACAAACATATTTTTTATTTGAATGAAACATGGATAAATGAAGGACATTTTGTAAAAAAAGTTTGGCAAGATAAACAGGTTACAAATGCTCGTCAGGCATTTATAGAAGTTTTGTCTACTGACTTAAATTTTCCAAATGGTAAAGGTCGCCGTTTAATTATCACTTATATTGGAGGAGATAAAAAGTAGGTAAAAACAATACAATAAGCAACCGGAGTTGCTGTGTTGAAAATTGTACAAATACTAGCAAAAAAAAAAATAGTGAAACTTATATAAAAAATTTCAGTAGCAAAGTGGAAATTAAATCAAAGAAATAAATAGATAGGTGTACAATAAGAAGAAAAATTACCTTTATTTTTGTAATAATAACAGTAATGCTGGAAATAGTTATACATTAGACTTTTGAAAGGTTTTAAAAAAACAATAAAGTATCATTTTACGATGTTCTTTAATATCCCTTTATTCTTAAATGTTCATTCAGTAAGAACTAGATTTCAAGATTTCTGCCTTTGATTATTATGTGGCTGGCATGCAATTTTGTGACTTACTGATGGGAAACCGGTTTTGATCATTCATTCTGTTTTCTTTCGAACAAAAATGAAAATATAAATAACGATCCTTTTTTATACATTTTAACTTCACCCTATTATTAAATGGTATTTTTTTATTTTGACAGAATAGGCTAATTCTTCAATGACAACTTATTAGACTTAGGCAACTTCTCATACATTTTCCAGTATATACTGTTGCCTGCCTATATTTTATTATTGATTTTTATTGATTATACATAATTTTCTTTAATTTAAGCGATAAAAATATATAATAACAATAAATTAATGTTTTATTTGTTTTACAAATCCATATACTTTTATTAAAACTAACATATATACTTTTTAATTCCATTAAAAATTGTATTTGTCAGTATACACAGAAATAGTCTATTAGTACCAAAACGAATTGGTGCTGCTGTCGAGCGAATAAGATATCTCCTAGCCAGAGGAAGAGAAATTCTGGAAACTTGATAAGTTAATAAAAGAAACAGTAGAACCAATTATTATTTCTGTGGGGAGGGAGGGAGGGAGGGAGGGAGGGAGGGAGGAAACTGATGATGATGACTCCTTATCGGGAGAAAACGATTTATTTAGGTATGTAACTCTATATTTACATTAATTATAATAGTTTATATGACACTAGTACCCGAAATACAAACAAATTTATATGGATTTATCCCGTATTTCTAAAAGAAATATGAGGGTTTTATGAGAAAAGATATTTTTTGCAAAGTTTTTTTTTTATATCATATAAATTTGGTTGAGTGTATATTTATTATTAAATATTAAGGAAATGTCCTGACCTAATATCTAATATACTATTTTTATAAAAATAAATGTGTGTACTTAATATTGACAATTTACTGTTTTTTACCTTAAAGTAATTTCGTGTTCCCGTCACTAAGGTATAGAATTATTGGTTAATCCCTTAGGGTTTGCTCATTTACATTTTATGATGTATTGTATTCGAGATTTTTCGGGGTGGTCTTACTAAAATCTAGTGAAAATTCAGATAAGAAGGTAGCACTATTTACTTTTTTCTGCTTTGAACAATCCTGTATATAGACCTTTGCCATAAAAACTATGCCATCATGCATTTTCAAATTAACTATACCTATGATGACATTTTGGAATAATTAGATGTGGTTTATACGCAAAATACACATATGGGTAGCACCGAAAAGTGATGTCAATGCCCCAATAATTAAATTAGATAAGTTTACGAAATTTTTAAAATGAAAAATAAAAAATGATAAACATTCTAATCAAACAAAACTTTTTTTTTATAGTTAAGTAAATATTTACGAAACCACTTTATTTACAAACCGGTTTCTAGTACGTCACTAAATTAATATAATCATATTATTAATGGAAATTTCTAATAAATGTATTTACAATTTATTTCAAATATTTGAAAAATTGCGTCATATTACTTTATTTTTTATTAGTATTAAAAATAGAGATCCTTTTCTTGAATTAATTTAATCAACAATTCCTCTAACATTGTTGCCAGTTATTAAAAAGTTTTCCAGATTTTACTGCCAACCTAAAAAAAAATATTGTTGTGCGAGCCAGTTTAGACCAGTCTAGTCCTACTCTAATTCCTTACGTTCCTCTTTGTCTCTATTTTCCCCTTACTAAGAATACTCGAGAAGTGGGTAAACCACCGAAACCTCAGCTTGATAACCTTATGGACACTGCCAGTCGACGTTCTAGATTATTTTGGAATATACTGGAAGTGTGATGAACATTTAGAAATCAGTTTAACAAATAGCGAAGGCAGCTCTGCTGTAGCAAGTTCTGGTGCAAGCGAGACCATTCGAGAAATACCACTTATACGTATAAATTGACTGTTTTGCTGTTGGAGTGGAGAGTTTAAGTGTAGATATCGATGTCAGCAGATTAATATAGTTAATATAAATTAGTATTAGGAATATAAGTTTATAAAATAAATTAGCTTATTAGCGCAAATAAATTAGATAATAAATAAAATGTTTAAATAAATAATTGTTACATTATTGATTAAGAATACGTTAAATGCACCATTTACACAATAACACAATATAATGTTTATAATATTTATTCAATTAGACTTTTATTTCGTTCAACATTGAATGATTTTATCTAAAATCTTTAGTGTATGCCACTCATAGTTAAATAATACAAAAAATCTATATCTGACCCATATTTATCGATAGCTATCTTCAAAATAAATATGTTTTGACGCTAAGTCCAATTTTATATTTATTTCAAATGTTTGTTTATGAGTTACATGACCTTGTGTACATAAAGGATTAAAGAAAGTAATAAATTGGGCAAACACAAAACAAACCGAGTTTTTCTTCATTGATTTTCCCAAGTTTTCCAACTTCAAACATTTACACAGATCCTTAATGGCACATTTAAAACAATTGAAAGAATAGTTTGCGTGTCTGAGAACTTTTTCGATAACGGTCGGATTCACAGAAAAGCCACGCAGAGGCGTCAAAAGGGATATTGTATATAGACGTTTTTACTTTTCTGTAACCAGTAAGGAAAGTATAGAAATCATGACTTTTTTCTACCTCGTTCTTTCGACGGATCTTTCAGTACCTTCACGGTAACCCAAAAACGCTTGCGGTGAGATGATTAGATTTTGAGCATAGTTTGAGTCTGTGGGATACTAGAGAGGCAGTGGCGGTTCCTGAATAAGTGTACATGTACACTCTTAAATTGCAAGTGTGCACTTCCAAAGTAGTAAACTTTGGCTACAATTTTCAGTATCATTATGTATAGTTTCAAGATTGGTGCAATGGAAAAATGCACCTTTGAAGACATGTTTTGTTTTTACTAGTAATACCACTAGAGGTCAAAAAATTTCCTGATATTAATTTGACCTCGCGTGGTATTCGGTAAGAAAATTCCACGCCGAATTATGGTTGAAAATTAAATATTTTTAAAATTTATTTTTCGTTTCTCAACAATGCAAATTATTTTCTCCAAGTCACCAGTGAAACATAAAAGGTGTTGTCGCCTTGATTGTTGAGTTGTCATGGTAACTAAGTGAGACCCTAACCTCGAATATAATTTCAGTTTTGAAGTTGTCAAGCGGCCCGACGTAAAAAAATGTTTCACTGCAATTATTTAGGCCTTCAAATTGCTTATTTCTACTCATTGTAGTTGCATGGGAATACCATTTGAAAATAGAAAATAGTATATTCTTTAATTTTACGTAAGTTTTGAATAACTACAAGTGGTAGAAAATTGTTATTCTGCGTTTTTATTAATATGCGTTATGAGCGCTTTTAAATGGTATGAAATTCATAACCAGCGTCAGCAAGCATCAATCGTAGGAGGCTGTGATCATTGTATTTTGACAGTTCAAAACATTAAATAACTCGCGTTTTGTTGCGATAAAGAATATTGCACAGCAA